ACAGCCATGTGACAGATACTCCATATTGATGTAGTTCACCATCACTTCCACCAGATTTATGTCCTGGTGTTAAGGGTCAAAATAACTATCTCAGTTCTGCCAAGTCCATGATGAAACTGGTATTTAATTTGTGTAATTTGTTGGAGTTGTTTGGTTGGTTTCTACCCTTTATGCCTATGTTCATATAAAACCATTTGATCTTGGTCATGCTGCCCCATTATATAAATCCTGCTCATCAAAGCTTTTGCTGGCTTTGTGTATCTGCTGTTTCCTGCTGGCTGGTTACTGACTCTTCTCCTAACCCTGTTCTCCAGAATATGGATTTTATGCACTGTTGATGTTTTAAAAGAGCAATTAATTTCCTTTTAAAGGGAAAGAATAGTTGAACTCTTAAAACATTCTGTTATCCATATTTGACTCTGCTTGAACTGTGGGAAGCTTTGGATTTCAAATTCATAGGACAGAAGTTGATGTTGAAAAAGTTATGAAGTATCTACCCCACCAAACATCTCAGTGGCCATAAAGCAGCAGGTCAAACTGGGTGTTTGACTTAAATGCTTGTTTTCTGTAGAGAGTTTACACAGCCTTGTTCAGCTGTGTCAGTGCTGAAGAGGCATCGCCTACATATGGGAGACAGTAAAGCATAGAATGGATAATGGCATAAACTGTGTGGCTATGTAGCAAAAATCACCTGTTATCACACTGTTAATGTTCTCAAGGGTCTTACATTTTAGCAAATGCAGCAAATATTAAGCATTTCAGCAAAATAAAAGCAAATGCAGTTCTTGAAACACAGTAAAGGAAAACCTTGACCTTGCTTTTTGCCACACTGAAGCAAAATGCAGGAATGTTACATACACTCAGGTTTGTTGTTGTATAGGTATCAGTCTTCCAAAATATTTCAGTATCAGTTACACTTAACCTTGCAGTTCCTCACAAATATTTCTGTCAGGTTTATCTTCAGAGGAGTTGGTGATGCAAACCATCTCATTCCATTCTCAGGGAAGAGTGGGAGCAAAAATTAGTGATGCACACTAGTAGTGGCCCTTGGCTTTATTAGCAATAGAAGACCACTCTGCCACAGTGCTGCTGCTCTCCAGAAGCACTGGTGTGGTCTGACAAGAGCCTGGTTGAAGATTTTTATCATTCAACTTCTGGAAAACGTGTCTGTTGAAATAAAACAGCTGGTTTAAAATACATTTTATAGTTTCACTGACAATTATGCTGTATTTCAGTACAAAGAGGAAAGAATTTAGATTTCTTTGGTGTAGGCTGAAAACCTTGGAGAGAAAAAATACTGGAATATTGCATCAAATACATTGGTGTTGAAAATTAGGAAGTCACTCTGAACTGGCAGTTTTTAATTTTAAATTACCTTCTATAGTTTTGGTTATGCCTGGTCTTCTGGTAGCAGCTAATACAAAAAACGTAAGTCTAAAAACTGTACACAGTTCCCTTGAAAAGAAAGGTCAGTGGATGGAAAGGCTGATGGTGCTTCCTTTCCCCAGCACATAAGAACCTGCAGGAGTAACACACTGAACTAAGTATGCTCCATAAATACACCTAAAGTAACTCTTGTTACTTTTCTTTTTTTTAATTTCAACTTCTATTATCTTTACTACTACCACACAGCAGTGCATAAGCAATTATCTAGTTCCTGTGGGAGGCAACAGCTTTTAAAATCAAAATCATATGGCATTCAGCTAAATAGACTTCAATATGATGATATTCCAATGTTTCACAAACATGCTACTCAGTTTTTTTTAAAATATTTTTTAATGCCTACTTGCAAATTAAAAACCATATTGGTCCCGGCACTGCATTCTCTGTAACAAAACACTTTTAGCCAATCAGATGTAGACTCTCATAATTAAATACTGCCTGCAGGACTGAGCAGTCTTAGAGCTGCCTAAAAAACTGATATGAGATTGCTGCTACCAAAGGAAGCCGTGTGAACACAGGTTTGGAGAAAGACAATCCAGACTTGGGGAAAAGAGCAGTACAGAGGTTGGATTTACTGCTGCACTTTGAAATGCACATATAGTTAATGAAATTATAGCTCTCATTTAGTTCCCTTACTAATTATTGCATCCTTTCAGCTGTAAGAGACCAGGCACTAACTGCAGCTCTAGGCTCCAGGTGCCTGCTCCTCTGTGCTCTAGAGGGAAGTAGGGCTTTCTGGGACATTCAAGGTTCTACCAGTCAGTGATCCCTACCGATCCAGATCTTAGCATTTCAGTAAAGAAAATCAAGAACAGTGGCAAATAGAGGGACTTTTCACATGCCCAGGGAGTAGTAATGGGTAATGACTTTTAAACCCCAGAAGGTAGATTTAGATTAGATATTAGGAAGAAATTCTTTACAGTGAGGGTGGTGAGGTACTGGAACAGGTTGCCCAGAGAAGCTGTGGATGCTTTATCTTGAAGCTCCATCTGTGGAAGTGTTCAAGGACAGGTTGGATGCAGCTTGGAGCAACCCAATCTACTGGAAGGTGTCCCTGCCCATGGTAGGGGGCTTGGCAAGCCAAACCCGTATTTAGAGAATGCATTAATTTCCATTTCCTGTGCATGGTATTTTAGTGTTTGTACACCCAAAACAGCAGCAGGACCAAAGCACAGTCAATCAAGCAAGTGGCCAAGGTGTCCTTTGGCAGGTTTGACCTTTCATGAAGTTTAGCACATCCTGTCCACTTGTCATCTGCCTTCTGAACAACAGCATCTCAGCCTTCCAGAGGAATATTCAAGCTCTTTTGCACCTACCTGCACCACTTTAATAGGAACCATTATTGAAAAAGGTGTGGAGAGACAAGTCCATGCATGGTGACCCAGTGACTATAAAGCAGAGGGGTGCCCTGGCAACAGCAGATAGGGAATTAAGAACAAGTAGCATAAGAAAAGCAAGAAGAGCAATGCAGTTACTACATTCCACTTTCCTATTCAGTTAGGCAGTGAACAACCTCAACCACATTTCACACACAAAGCTGGAATCGCCAATTCTAGGGATGAGCTATGCTCTACAGGTTGGTGCCAAGCAGCCAGGAGGTCTTCTTGAAGTGAGCACTGAAGAGGCCCAGCAGCAGGGAGAGCTCAGAGCACTGCTCTATCTGCACCAGGAGGAGCCACCACCATGTGCTCGGGGAAGTATTTCTATTTTTCCAGAAAACTGGGCCATTGACATCTTCATTTCCTGCTTTTCAAGAGGTGTGTGTGTCAGAATGATTGTCAAAAGAATGCAGGGCCTGACCAGAAACCACCTCTCCCTTCTGTGTTTAACGCTTATCATGTGCTGTCACTTGCACTTCCCCAGCAGGGTGGGGGAGAGAACAGGAAGAAAATCTCCTGGGTACAGCTGGAAGAGTTTCAGAAGGGGATGAGGGGGGAATTAAACCATTGCCCTCTCCCTGACACAAGTCAATGCCCTGCCACCATCCAAGCAATGCCAGCACGAAGGGCCCTCTTTGCCTTCCTCCACCCATTTTATTGCTGAGCATGGCCTAAACTAAGGAATATCCCTTTGGCCAGTTTGGATCAGCTGTCCCAGCTGTGTTTCCTCCCCAGCTCATGCCCCTTCCCCCCAGTCTACACAGAGTACAAACACTGTCCTGCAAGAGCCAAAGCACTTACCAGCTTTATCAGCATCATTCCAGCCATAAATCCAAACCACAGCCCCCAGCACCACATTGCTGCTCGGATGGACATGCACTCCATCCCAGCCAGAGCCAGCACAGGCACCTTCAGATACAGCTTGAGCCCAGTAGTCTAACTTGTTACAGTTCCAGTGGAGAAGAGAGCAAGGTATCACATTTTCAGTATCAGTCACCACTGTCATCTCTCTTTTTTTTCCAGCTTGAGCAGAAAGATTAGGAGAGCCAGCAATTAATTTAATTAAGGTCTTAAGTAGCTAAGAGCTATAAACTCCACTTAGACACTTAGATTTGTCTGACAGCTCCCAACAGAATCCATCACTTGTTGGTAAATCCATGATAAATATGAAAGAATTTTGCTTCTATACAGGCAACGTTCTTGAGCTTTTCAGTCAGTCCGAGGTTTAGAAGCAAAATGTGTGTTTGTCTTTTATTTGTTCAGACACTAATGTATTTCAGGCAACTGCCCAATTGCCTCACTCAAGTGACGAATGCAACAGGAAGACTAACCAAACAATTCACTGAGAGGGCACTGGCACCTCAACATTTAAGAAAATTATAAAGGACAGTGCTTTTACCACCACCCAAAAAAACCCCCACACCCCACTAACATAAAATCCACCAAAACAAATAAAATCCAACCACTAATCACCCAAACACAAAGAAGTTTCTTGAGTCTGCTCAAAACTTATACTTGAACTTTACAGATCTGCTGGGTCTCCACATGGATTCCCTAAACCTCCTCCTACACCCATTCCCTTTGTGAAGAAGTCAGGGGTTTTTTTGCATGAAGACAACTCTAATCTTCCCAGACCTTTAACTGTGGGCTAAGTATAAATTAAAAAATATACAACTTTAGCACCAGGCAGCAAATTCAGTTCTATTCTATTATTGAATGCAAGAAGGCATTCATCTTATGCTAGTGGATATCAGACACACCAAACTTTTTTCTTAATGTATTTTATTTATGCAAAACCAATCCAAAAATGGTATGCAAAAGTGAAAAGCTATTTTTACATATTAATAAAATGGGTTTTTTTAAATATACAGTTTCTATGTGTGAAGAGTGAGGATTTGACCATTTTATTTACAGGAACACACTGAGTTTATTTAAAATATAGAAGGCATTAAGTCATTCTTATTTTCTCTGAAGCTAATTGCTGTACAGTATACAACAGCTCAAAATGCCCAAAGAACCAGGGGTAGCCCATGATGACTTGATTATACAAGCTTTTTTGCTTAATACAATTAGGAATATTCTTGTTTTGATGTAATGCTTCTGGTTTTGGAGGGGTTTTTTTCAGGGCTTTATTTTATGTATACAGTAGTCAAATTATATTACTATGTCATGCCCAGTGGTTCCTTTAAGAAAAGTTACATTCCTTGAGCTTCCAGTTCAGCTGCTGTTATATCTGGTTCTTCATCATTGTAAATGTTTTCTGCCTGAAGACAGAAAACATTACATTACAAGTGATACACACAATTGTTTTTAAACAATCTTCTACACTTCATATAGAAAAACACCTTGGTAACACCAAGGTGGCACAGCTATCATCCCCTCCTTAAAGGGATTTTCTCCCTGCCCTTTCTTAAAGAGCTGCCACATTTAGGAATGTATACACAGTGGCTACATTTTGGCAGCTGCCTTCTTGCATTGCTCCATTTCAACAGCAAAAGCAGCAGCCATTTAACCACTAGACCTATTATGAGTATTTTATTTGCAATTATTTCAACCCCAGTCTAAATACACAAACCAAGAACAGGTAATAAAAAAAGATGCCTGACCTGTAACATATATTTAAGTCCGTTAGAGTTTTTAAACTGAATTTATCCCCATATTACTTTATTCCACATTTCTAAAATAGCTGATCCATTTCCTGTAATGTAAAATAATAGGAGCTAACTAGGGATTTAAAAGGCATCCTGCTTTATAGCCAACATATAGGGGAGAGCAGGGGGCAAGAGTAAGTCTTGGCTAATATTGGATATAATTTTGCAACTGCTTTATTAAGAATAAATCTTAATATTAATTAGTACCTAGGACTTGGAATCAATAATTCACTAACAGTTGCTTTTATTCAAGTTGTTTTAGTCATGGTTTTCTTTTTAAAGACTTACACTTTTTGATTAGATCAAGAAATGTACAGCACAGACAATTTTCAGTCCTTGAAGGCACAAGCTCCCTAAGAACAAGCCTTTTCAGTTTCATTTATACAACAAGCTTCAGAGTAACTCTAGAGCTGTTGTGACACTCACCATCTGCCATATCTGCATTATGTTGTCCTCTGATACAGAACAGAATACCCAAGGCTCATTAGGATTCCAACTGAAGTCTGAAGTTTTGGCAGTGTGTCCTCCATGAATAAACTGTTAAAAAAAAACCCACAAGCTTCAGTAAGCCATTTCAACTCTAGAGAAATCTGTTAAAACCCAGGATTCTTAAGTTAAATTCATCATGCTAACAACCACCCAAAAGCAAAACTTGCTACTAGAGATTCACAAGAGATGTAAGGAAGGTGTGTGTTCAATTGCTTCCCATTCGCTGCTTATGGACACAGATGCAGTTGCTGAGACAGCATTTGAGATAACAGTTCCTATTATTACAGCAACAACTGACATCCTCAAAATGGTCTCCACACAGGGCTAGGCTGTGAAATCCAGCCATATTTCATTCTGATTATCTCTAAGAGTACTTGCAGAGTCACACAAGAAATAGGGAAACCTTCAGAACTGAAGAGAGGAAGCCTACAGAAAATTAAAGCAGTGGACTGGAAACCAGGGAGGTGAAAAGATTTATGAACAGCTTTGGTTTTAGCAGCACAGTGACATCTCACTGCCACGCAGCATGTCAGCACACTGAAACCTGAACAAAAGGGTACCAGCAGCTCAGGAGGCCCATCTTCTGCATCCTCTGCAGGCTGCTCTTCAATTTTACTGTAAGAAAGTAGTTTACACTTTTTATTAAAATGACAGTGGCATTCTCTGTCAGCTTAACTGAACAGTTCCTGGCCTTTGTTTCCCATATTTGCAATTGGTGTTTCTCACTGTGAAATATCTAAGCACCAGGTGTAAAACATCAGCTGTCTGGCACTGTCATTACTGAAATGGAATCTTAAATTATGAAGCACATGGAGGCAAAAAAAATCACTTACTGATGTGATACCTAAAGATTTTTAGCCTTTTTTGCATTTGTAGCTTTGTAGATTTTTAATATATAGTTGTATGATTTCTAGTACTTTTCCTGCCCTCACATTTTAGAACAATTAGAATAATCTAACACATTGCTGAAATTCTGTTTAGTCTTAAGAACAGAATTTCTGACAAGGACATCTTGTTTTCCAACAGAAGTGGAGAGACATAACAAGAAATAGGGCAAAGAAACTCCTGGACCAACTCCAAAGGAGGAGACCCAAGGGTGTTTTACTGGGCCAATTGATCTCCTATTGGATGTCCCTGCTAGATAAACTAATTAATTAACCTTTTAAAAATTGCAGAAATCCTTTGTCACACATACACATATATCCGGAAAGCTTTCACTAAAGAACTACTTTTTATCCAATCACTTTAACACCGTTGCAAGTTTTGTCTCTTGAATCTAGGCAACAAGTGAACAACAGAAAACAATGCTATTAGCAAGAAATTCTGATGGAGAAGTAACTTTACATATACTATGCTGTTTCTATTTATACCCAACAGACCAGGCCTGAGGCAAGCAAGGAAAACCAGAGAACAGCACAAATCAAACCTGCCAAATTATGCAGGCCTGCAGCCCGTTTTTTAACCATCTGCTCATATATACTAGGAGAGAGGTATTGCTCCTCACCTTAGATCCCATACATTAAGGCGACGATCAGTACCACTTGAAGCAAGAATGGTTTCATTATGAGGAGACCAGTAAACCTATTGAAAGAAAACAATTTCAGTGGAGCAGTTACCGATTTCTAAAGCATATCCTGAATTACCAGCACCCTGGACACTAATTTTTAACTATACTATGTAAATCAGTTTCTCCCAGCACAGAAGATATCCAGTAGCTCAAAAAAAAAACTGCTTTACTCTTAAGGTTTCTCATACTGAACAGACAACATTATTTCACTACTATGGAATTTGTCTAAAAATCACTGGTACTTGCACCTAATTAAATAGGCAGAGTTCACAAAATTAGATTTGAATCCAAATCCTCCCTACAGCATGTTATTTTAGAGAAACCTTCTACTTGTACTTAAGGTACTTGTGAACACACAGTATCTTTTTAGCAGTAAGTTGTTGACTACTTGCTTCAAAGTCAAGTGGGGAAAGGCAGAAATAAACTACATGGTATTGTCTGTAATTGTCAAACTCAACATAGTGAAATTTGGTTCAACAGAGTTATTTGTGTTGCAAGAACACAAATTTACATGTTCTTGTCAAAGTCAGTACTCTTTTCTACAGGCTGCTAGTTTACCCACCTGAAAAATCTCATCCTTATGAGACTCAAAAGAATGGAGTTTCAGCTTTAAGTTTCAAAGATCCCACAGAGCCACCATCTGGGAGACACAAGCAACAAGAATTTGGTTTTACTGTAACAGCTTTCATCCACACCACTTAGGAATGTAAAGTATACTCAAGTGAAAACCTTGTCAGCAGAGCCAGTTGCCAGAATGAACTTGCTGTAAGGATTGAAGGACAGACAGTTGACCTCAGCTTTGTGAGCATCTACTGAGTGACTCGGCTTGGACGTGGTATTAGATCTTGTGTCCCAGCTGTGGCAGTGAAGGGTTTGGGAAAGGGAGGAAAGAGGGAAAGCAAACAAACTTAAGATTTTATAGGAAGTTCTTTTTCACTACAGCTTTTACTATTGAACTCAACTCTGAAGCTACAGTTTTCATTCCAAAACCATCAGTTATTCGTGTTTGTTGTACATGAATAGATTGCATCAGGAAGCCGACACAAATATTAGTTACATCTTTTCAAGTGCTGTGAACACATTAAATGACATGTAGATTTCAGTGAATCTGCACCATCACTGTAGCTGATTGACATAAAGAGCTACATAAAATCACTCCAAATTTCAGACCTTTTTTTATTGAAGTGCTGTGAACTAGATCCACTGGCAGCAATGATATTTTGGTTTTTACCCTTTTTTCTTTTATATATTCTCTGTATTCTTTACACCTAAATTTGTAGCATAATCTATTTGTGGCTAGTTTTCCTAGTAGTTTTCCATGCCCTTTCCCTAGACAGAAAAACAAAACATATTCCAAGGGCCCCTATCCTATCTTGGTTCTCCCTGGCTACCAAGGTTGAAAACAGCTCATCAAGACACATTTTCATAAACAAAGTACAGCCAGTACCAAGGGGTGGGTGGGTGCTGCAGAGAAAGGGCTTGACCTGGGGGGTAATTGCATCAGCACTTGTCATCCTAATTGGTGCTTTTTTGTCAATTATGCTAATTTACTAAACTTATAAAACTGTATGCACCCTTGTAGGGGATGGGCTTTTGTGGACATTCTTCCATAAGAAGAATGCCCTGGAGGCCTACAATAAAGATCCACTTTTATATTACATCTCATACTAATATTATCTTGAAAGTGTGTGTTGTTTCATTCCTAGGCTGAAAAAAGGCATCAGCAGGACACAGCAGGCCCTACCCAAAAATCTCCTAACTTACATCATAAGCTTCTGATCATCTGCCACAGATCCAAATAGAGACTCGTGGTGCAGCTGCCATGCCATGTCTTCCACTACTGCAGAGTGCCCAGTAAAAACAGCTTTTGCATCAGCAATCTTGCCCTCTTTGGGTCCAGCACTTACATCCCATAAACACACTGTCTGTAAATAAGCCACATTCTATTGAAATGCAGACTCTGATTGTATCATCTTTCAAATAAATAATCACACTCCACATATAAAGACATGACACTCCTGAAGCAGTTCTTTGCTTTTGAAAAAGAACACTTATTCTGCCATAAATGAGAGCTAAGTTATCAGTTTTCTGCTTCAAGGCCCAAGGATTGTTTAGAAGGTCACAAAAGCAATTTACACTTTTAAAGTCCACAAAGAAATTTATAAGCTATTAGTTATTGATCTTTGAGAGTCTTACTAATTTATGGTCTTGACCCAATCCAGTTGAAAGGGTTTCCTCCAGCAGACAACTATAAAAGCATTCTGTAAGAACCTTAAAAAGAACTCATGGTTGATTACAGCCTAAAGCTGAAAACTGACAGCCTTTAGAAATGTAGTTACAATGTGTGAGAGCTTCCCCACATAACAATACACAGCTGCACCAGGACAGATTTTCTCTAATTTTCTACTATAACATAAATTAGGCTTTTTTAAACAGGGGAAAAGATATGGTTTTCACATGATCATCTGATGCACTGAGAAGATGTTCACTCAAATTTGAGTTCCATGATAAGCCATAGCCTTCCTTCTGGTGTCCTTTTAATTTAAGGTCAGGATTACACTCTCCACTTGGGTCTGAAAGACAGGAAATTCCTTTCATTTAGCATCTCCTTGCACATCAATCCATAGGAGCATCACTATCACCCAAGAACTTTGTTCCTGTTGCAATAATTGTATTTTATACATGAACCTCTTCAGAGAATGCTGCTTCTACCAAGATTCTTTTACAAAAGTGAACCTAACCAGCAGTTAAAGTCACTGAAGATACGGGCCTTCTCCTTTGGGTGCCAGAGCCCAGCAAACCTTTCCCAGTCACAGTTAAACACAAGTTTATCCCTCTTTAACAAGAGGCATTTTGCTTAGCTCCAAAGAGTCAGACTCACCTGGTTTTGAAGGATGTTCAGTGTAGTGAAACACCAGCACATCAGCAGACAGTGATTTTGTCACAATGATGCAGGGATCCTGCAGCATGTAATGGGCATGGTTCACTTCACCCTCATGGTTAATTTTAATCTCCACCTCAATTTTGCCAGTCACAGATCCAAAGCCCCCAAATTCTACAATTGTCAGAAAAATGTCAGTTTATCCCATCCATTATTTTAGACTACTGAAACAGCATCTAACAGCATATTCCCTACCCCAAGCAACAGTGGTAGCACCTTATTAAACACAAGCAAAGACTAGGAAAGACTCACACCATGTAACACAATAGCATTAAAACTTTTGATATTTGGAATCCTCTTCCAGAGCTTTAGTCTTTATTTGAGGTAGATGTTTACCAGTCTTCACCAAAACTGAGACTTGGTAGAAATTCTAGTAGGGACTGCATATCAGTGTTACCTAAGCTCTTCTGAAACAAAAAGTTTCCTCTTTTAAGGTGTCTAGAATTAGTGTGGACTGGTAAGTATATGTCCACTTTTGTATTTAACAGAAAGTTAGAATATTATCAGAACAACTGAAAGCAGTAATGTTACTGCTCAAACAGAACCTAAGAATTCTGCATGCCCACCTCCTTTCTCACTGTCAGACTGCAAAGCATCAAACTGATCATTGTTGGGAATCTGGACTCTGGCAACAACCAGGTGGTTCTGTTCATTAGACGTGTGTGTTCCCAAAATCAGCCAGTGCAGAGCATAATCCTTTCCTTCTAGCATGTTTAGAACAATAATGTTGGAATAAAATTATGTGCTCAGTTCTAGAAGTTCCATAGCTTGCATCAATAACCCTGAAGATCCAAAACAAAGAGATGCTCCCAAAGAGATCCTCCCCTTTGTTGCAAAGACTTGTGCAATAAAGCAAACTGGACTCTTCCATGAGCAAACCAAAGACACAACCAGCAAGGCTCAATTAACAATACAAGGCAGTAAACATTGCCACTGTGGCTTGAAAGGGACAGCTACAGTTTGCACAGCAGCTAAAGGTGACACCAGTGCCTACTCTGGTCTAATCTCCCTAGAGTCTCACAGTATTGATTTAGGAAACAATCGGTACTCCTTTCCATAAAACATAAATCCTGAAGGGACAAGTGGCAACCTATTTTAGTTACTTCTCTTAGGAGCTTTTACCAGCTATCTTAACTAGAATCAAATTTCTCTTCTGGTGGTTGAATGCAACATTTAGCTAAAAGTGAACAGCTGGATGGATGCTGCCATTTATCTCTGAAAGGACAAATTTGAACAGTAAAAACCAAGCAACCTCTGCATTCTTGAATGCAACAAATTATGTTGCCTGAATCCAAGCAATCCAGAATCATTTGGGTAATCAAAGTACCAAAGGTATTACTACACCACTTACAAATGTAGAGGGGGAAAAAATGCAAAACCGAACAAGAAACACAATGCACGTGCACTTACTTGCATCAGGAACAGGTGTCCCATCATGTCACATGCCATACAAACAGGCAGTCCTTGCCTTAAATGGCTTACATATTTTGACACTGGATAATTAGAAATACCAGGTTTTAAACTGAATATTAAATCAATCTGCAAAATATGAGGCAAGCAGAAGTGTTCTTCATAAGGGCTCCACACCCTCAAATCCCCGCTGCATTTTCTCCATGCCATGACTAGTTAGCTCACATCTCTCAACATCATCCCCAAATATTCTGGTACACCAAATGAAGCGATCACCTAACCCACATGTAAAACATCCTGTATATAAAGCGAAACTTAACAGAAGAAGGAGACCATCCTCTGATAACTGCATGAAGCTTACGCATATGGTATTTTAAAATCTACCTAAATCCACATTACGTAGTCCCTGTCCACTACCTCAGTGGAGCCCTGAGTTCTGTAGTAACAATTTAAGTTCTGCAGTAGTTGGCATATGAACAGGTTCTATCCCCGTCTTCATGGTTCCTTTAAGAAATTAAACTGAGCCCACAATTTTTTTCAGGGGGATGTGGAAGAATGTGGTTTAAACATGCGAATTCAACAATGAACCAGAGACAAAACCAGGATGCAAAGAACCAGTTTTAAAATATTCTTTTAAATAAGCCCAGACTTAGAAGATATCAAGGTTATACTATAGCATAAATACTATAGCTTGGATGGACGAGTATATATAGTGCACATGAGGAAAAACAGTCTCTAAGAAGGAGCTAATTTAGTAGGGAGATTTCTTGATCAGAATTAACTATACATGAGCACTAGAAATAAACTTAGAAATAAATTACTTAAAATTAATTAAATTAAAATTTAAAAAAATTACTTAGAAATAAACTGAGAAAGATTTCTGTTCACACCTCACACCACCTTCTGCTAGGCTAAACTAGACTTCAGTGAACTATCAATTTGTGACCTTTTTCCTCGATGCTTCTACACACCCGAAGGGTTTTTAAAGCTGTAAGCAAAATAAAAAGCTACAAGCTACCAAAGAGAAGTCTAACCCAAGCTGTTCTCGTCTTGCATGGTTTTTATCCTCAAGTAACTCAGCGCACACGGTTAACAGAAAAGGAGCCGTGCGCCTCCCCGTCCCTTACCTGGTCACATCAGGCAGCCACTGCACCGTGAGGCTGGGCCACTCCAGGGCGTGTGTCATCACCAGGTCGTACAACAAGGGGGTGTTTTTCCTCCACATCTTGTACTCCTCACTGATGACACACTCCTCCACCGCGTCCTCCAGCACTGCAGGAAAGGGAAAGGATGAACCGAGAGTGGAAGGGGGACACAGCCCCGGCCAGGGCTCTACCGGGGGGCGGAGGAGGAGGCAGAGAGCGAGCACAGGAGCCTCTGGAAAGGCGGCGGGAGGGAGAAGGGGCGAGGGAGTGCAGGGAGCCCCGGTACCGGTGGGCGGCCCCGATTCGGAGGCTCCCCGGCCCACAAAAGGCTGCCGGGATGGGGCGGGGCCGGGAGAAGGTGAGGCGGGGCCGGGGGAAGGCGAGGCGGGGCCGAGGGAAGGTGAGGCGGGGTCGGGAGAAGGTGAGGCGGGGCCGAGGGAAGGTGAGGCGGGGCCGGGAGAAGGTGAGGCGGGGCCG